TCAATATTATAAAGTTGACTTAAAAAGTGTTATTCGATTCCACTACTGGTTAAATTATGTGAGTCTAGAATCAGTGGGGCCGAACTCAATCTTTATAGATAGGGCAAAGGGCAAAGTACAAAAATTAATACCCATCCCACCTASAGACACTTAACTAAATCGCGTATTCACTTTGGTTTTTTGATATTTCAGAATATTTATATTTTATTTCTCCTTATATGAATTATTTTTATACATCAATAATATCCTACCTCCCCTTCCTTCGCCTACCTAAAYATAGGATTCAGTGCCACTCTCTAGAATTATATTTTTAGTACTAAATATGTATATCTTAGTATTTATTTAATTAAAATTAACAAGTTGACATTACTTTAGAACGGATGTGCAAATTGTGATAATATAATTAAAGGCTCTCCAGTTAAACAAGAAAATCAAGATTCTACACCAAAAAACTTTTGTTCAACTGCTTGTTTAAATAAACACCAAAGGAAAGAACAAACCAAAAAAAGTTAGTACATATATTTACTTTTAAAACCTTTACTAAATATTTTTATTTGATAGGAGCTAGTTGTCATGCCTTATATAGAAAAATATTTTATAATTGCTATGTATATTAAATTAACTTGAAATATTTAATAAAAATACAAAATTAAATACATCAAATACAAATTTRACTAATTAAAAATATATTATAATATCTTGTATTTATTTGTGTTAATTGTATGATGTTATAATAATAAATAAATTATATTTTTTCTATATTTTAGCTGTTTTTGGAGATGTTCAAGTGGAAAATCCATTTTCTGTTCATAATAATCCAGTATTTGATTGGGATAATTATCTTAAAGAAACATCAAGCACAGCAGCTCCTACTTATTGTTTTAAACAGGTTAAATACAGTTAATTATCTCTTGAATTATTTTTAGTGAATATATTGTATGGTAACAATTAGGTAATTCTTTAAAGTTAATGTTAATTTAAAAAAAAAAAAATTAAATTACATCAAATATAAATGTATTCTAAATTATATATTTTCCATAACTTATTAAAATAAAATATTATCACGTATAGCATGAAGTATCTCCGGAAAATGAATTCAAACCAAGTATGAAATTGGAAGCTGTAGATCCACGAAACATAACATCTATGTGTATCGCAACCGTCATAGGTGTTGTTGGCCCCAGAATACGTCTTCGTCTAGATGGTGGAGATAATAAAAATGATTTTTGGCGATTAGTTGACTCTTCAGAATTAAAACCCATTGGTTATACAGAAAAAAAAGGCGGGATGTTACAACCTCCACTTGGTATATCTATAATATTTTATATATTTTAATTTAATTTATGCTGACAAAAAYTTACATTAGGGTTTTAAATATGTTTTTAGGTTTTCGTATGAATGGTTCACTATTCCCTATGTTCCTAGTGAAAACTCTAAATGGAGCTTTCTATTCTCCTGATACTGCTTTTAAATCTGAACCAGAAACTCCTACTGACAATTTATTTAAAGTCGGTCAAAAAATTGAAGCCGTAGATAAAAAAAATCCACATTTAATTTGTGTGGCAACTATTGGTAAGTTAACTAATTATATTAACTTATTTATAATCAGTAGACTTATTTTTTATAAATAATCAACTTAATAATTATATTGTATTATTTGTATTAGGTGATGTTAATAAAAACAATATATTTGTTACATTTGATGGATGGAGAGGTGCATTTGACTATTGGTGTTCCTATGATTCTAGGGATATATTTCCAGTTGGATGGTGTTTAAAAAGTGGACACCCACTTCAGCCACCTGGCCATAAAGGTGATAAATATTAGRCAGTGTAATCATAGTAAAATAAATTAACAAATAAACTATTACAGGATCTCGTTATTCAGGAAGTAGACCAAATAGTGCACAGTCTTCAGCAAGTGTGAAACAAAATTTTAATGATTCTATAAATTTAACTCCAGATAGYGCAAGTGATCTAGAAGCTGGTATCCAAGAATCATGTTCTGGTATTGCAAATTTCAGTTAACAATCTTATTTTTATAATTAAAACATTTTTATTTACAGTATTTATAAACCATGAGTGCAAATGTGGCCCATTCATGGATTCTTCTAAATTGTTTGAACTTCCCAAACAATTAGGGCCTGGATTAGTTCAAAAAGTTTTGAAAGACACTATACAACATTTAGTAAACACTGCACATGATATTCAATCAGTTACAACTTTGATGAAGAAACAAGGTGATAGTACGTGTACAATAACAGGTAAAAACTACAATAGATCTTAGATAAACTTAATTTAATTKAATATAATCATTTTATATAGAACTAAGCACTTGGCCTTGTTTCTCCGAATTCATAAAGGCTAGACTATCCTCTATAACCCCCAACCACACACTTAGTGTTCATACATATTTTAAAAATTTCAAACTTATGAATTTATTTTAGCTGTACTTTAGTTCATATAAATGTTTAAAAAGTTTGGATTGAAAGTTTTGCTAACGAGCAATAATATTTTTTTTTTGCTAAATAATAATATTACACAATTTTTTTGATATTCAGCTACATATGAAGGAAAATCTAGAGTTTTTAAATTGCCAAAAATTGAGAAAACAGATGAGTTTTGGGATTATATTAGAACTCTGTTAGAGGATCTGTCATGCTGCAAAAATTTGTTAAGCCCTGCTTTAAATGTTTGCTCTGAGTGTAAACTAGAAAAAAGTAAATAATAATATTTAATTTAAATTATAAAAATAGGAATATTTTATATTATTAAAATAATTATTTTCATTTTAGATACCAATGAAGTAATAACAAATGTTAGCAAAAGTATAAAACGACATGGTTCACCAGAAAGTTCGACTCCTGATGAAGTAACATTAGCTACAAAAAAACCATGTATAACTGAACCTGAAATGGAAGCTGCATCTTCAACAACTCCAACTGAAGGGCCCATAAGATTRCCTGTAGACCCTATAGAATGGTCTGTAGAAGATGTTATTCAACACATAAACTGTATAGACCTACAATTAAATACATTTGCTGATCTTTTTAGGAAACACGTAAGATTTCATGTTTAATCAAATTTCAAAAAAYATTTTACCACAYAGATAAAATAAATAAAATATTTATTTTAGGAAATTGATGGAAAAGCCTTGCTATTATTGAACTCTGATACAATGATGAAATATATGGGACTTAAATTAGGGCCTGCTTTAAAACTTCAAAATTTAATTAATAGATTAAAACCCCGAAGAAGATAAAAGTAAGCYATATTTAACAATAATTTGTGAATTTGAGTTTAGTTATTATAGAATAAACTAAAGTATAATAWTATAAGAATTTTAATATACATTCAATTTTTATTTCACAGGTAAAAAGCTCATTGGGAGCTTATTATTTAAGGTTGATATATTATATATTATAATTTTGTTTTCTCCAACTATTTTAATGTATTATGAATGATTGGTGCTTAGGTAATAGATGTTTACTATGAAATTAATTCACATACATTTTAATAATTTTTAAGTAACAATACTTATGTTTTCCTTAATTAATATTTTATTTTATTTAAGGAATTTCTATTAACTAACTTTTGATCATTGTACATTTTTGTTTTCTAATTTATACCAATAATGATTTATTTTTTACCTGATATAAAATATAAATATAGTTTTCTCATAACTAAATTTTAAATTATATTTTGTTTTCATTGATTTTTTTAGTAATTCATATGCCAAGAGGATGGCTAAAGTTGAATTAATCTATTATTTATTATTTCTCTGTACTCAGCTTTGATTCTATAATATATAAATTTGAMATGTTGCATGATAGACAAACATAAATAATTATTTTAATTCTTATAAATTTTATTTTTATTTTTCGAGTATAAATTTCTTGTAATTATTAGCATATTAACAAATTCTGAAACTATTATTGCAATAAATATTAGTCATTTGTATTTTTATTAGAAAATAATAAGTTAAGTTATCAATTTTTCGTATGATTTTTTTTTATATCTAATATCAGTATGTTTTTCTTTACACAGTGGTTTTTATTGGGTAAAATTAAGTTTTTTTATAGACTATTAGTGATTGAATTAAATCAATAATATTRTATTTTTATTAATGTATTAATTTGATATTCTGGGAACCATAACCTCGCTTAGCACAAACATTAAACTTTAGTCCATAATATCCTATTAGCTAAAATGTTTAGTTTTGATAGTAATAATTAGCAAAATAAACAATTTTTTACTATTGAAAAAGGTAATTGTGATCATTTGAAATAACATTCTACACTCCATGGTTTTGTACTTTTAATTTATTTTATTTTTTGTTATTAGCTTTAATTTATGTATATGATAAATCTGTAATATTTTATCATGTTTCAACTTTTGTAATATAGGTATATTTTATTTTATTTATAGTAACAGAAATATTAAATTTTGTTTATTAATTATATTATAATATTAATAGCCGTAATGGGAGAAAAATGTAATGGCAATTGTTTCTGTGATTTTAGAAATATTTTGATTGTATTAAAAAATTATATTTTTTAAATGAATATAGATTTTTGTTTGCATTTGTATTGTTTTATAAATACACTACATTTACTATTATTTATTTATTAATTACCAAATAAAATTTAAAATTTTCCAACTTATGCATATTTTAATCTCTAAAAGAATAGTAATACTTTGAATAATATAATTGTAAGAAAGATATTACAAACACTCCTTATATTGTACCAAATCAAACTAATGACATTTATAAAAACTGTGTGCGTGTGTGTGTGTGTGTGTGTACACAATTTATAATACTAAAAATTGTTTGATTTTAAACTCTACTGATGGTTCCTCTAGATCTAGTTTGTACATTTGAAAGGCTAAAATTTGAAAATTCCAATAATTTTGRGAAAAAATTTAAGAACAGCTGAAATTATTCAAAAATTAATTATCAAATTGTAGATAACTTAAAATTTTCATAAAATATTTAAGTTAGCATTTTTTGTACATGGTCAAATTTTCAAAATTTGTTAATAGCTATTTATAGACATTGAACATTTTACATTTTTTTCTATAAATATTTATAAAATATTTTAAAATTTAATTATAATGTTTAAAATCTAAAATCTTTATGTTTAGTAAATATAATCTCAATATTTTTTTATTAGTGTTTAAAGTTAGAATTTTCGATAAAAAGTCTAATTATGTAAAGCTCTTGGGCATACTCAATATTAAAATAAGTACCTAAGCTTTGTTAAAAAAAATCAAGACCCGTTAAGTAATTTAGGTAAAATATATATTCTACTATATAGATCTTTGAGTCATTGACTACTGTCAAAGTTTTATCTGTATTTCATCTATATGCAGGATTGTCAGTCACGAATTTTGTGATATCAATTATATTGATTTTAATATGAAATCATAATAATTAAGAGGGTGCTACGCCCATATTAGTTGTCTCAGACACTCAGTCTTACAACGCGTAACTAACGGCAGATTCATGCTCAGCAGTTCACGTTTTATTCCATTAGCTTAAAAATAAGAGTGAATATATCTTCTATGAAACTTGATGGTAAGGACATTATCTTGTTGGAAGTTATTTTACAAAAATTCAGTTTTTAAGTGAGTTATTATGCGCGTATATTAAATTGCAAAATAAAAATATTCATATAACTCACTTAGAAACTGAATTATCGTGTAAAAAACTTCCAACAAAACACAGATAATGTTCTTACCATCAAGTTTCATATTAAGTAAAGGTATTCAGWATTCACTATTTCAGTATTTCACTCTAATTTTTAAACTGACGGAATAAAACGTGAACTGCTGAGCATAAATTTGTTAAGTTACACGTTTGTAAGACTGATACAACAAATACAGGTGTGGCGTCCTCTTAAGCAGTACACYATGTAGGAATTAAAATTTAAAATACCCATGTATTAAAACTATTTATATCATTTAATAGTTTAATCTATTCAAAGACATTCTCATGTTTAAAAATAGTTGCCTCATTTTTGTTTATAGATATTTAGTGATTCAGTCCTTACTCCTTGAATGACTTAACTTTTTTTCTACCTTTTCAATAGTTAAATACTTTTTTATAAATCATAATACTTAATGACTAATGTTGTATACCTACCTATTACCTAATACTTTTTTWATTTACGTTACGCAGTACSCACTATAACCTGTAGCAGTATATTTTAATTTCTAACTGTCAAAAAAAGTTATTTTTTATTGGTTACGTGGTATTACTGCTTATGACCAGCATCAGATCAATAACTGCAGAACGGCGCGGAGCTGTGGCTGTGTTTGTGTCGTTTGTGAAAACTGAAAAGCGAAAACTAAAAAGTATCTAATATTGCAGTCTCAAAATGTTACGATTTCTGCAATTGCTTTGTAATATTTACAACTTTCAACAATAAACCAAATACATTCATATGTCAAAAATGTGAAAAAAAACATAATTTTAAATTTCCTATAATAGTTATTTTATTAGAGTAGATATTATAATCCATAGGCTATAGTAGTAAATAATATACCTACTTAGTAAATATATTTTATTAAAATATCATCATGGTTACTAAATCAGTTTCGTGTAAGTTGGTAATTTAGGYATTTGGGTACGATCCTAGTACCTACATTATAGTTATATCACTGATTAATTTACATATAACGTTAAAAACACTTTAATTTTTATTTCAGTTATTGCTAAAATCAGACACCTTCAAGATTATCAACTGCGACTGAGCTATAATATGCTTCCTTGTCCATCTGGGCTAGAAATTGCTAACTGTTTAAAATATTTTTCTCAAGTACTTTTGAGTAAGATTAAAATTTTATAATTTTTTATAATTTATAAATTTGTGGATGAAATTTCTAGTATATATAGATAAATACACGTTTATAAAAAGTGTATAATCTTTTAGCTAAGCACACTTTTAGCTCAAGTGTAATTGTGTAAAAAAGTACTATAAAAATTTTATAATAATACATCAAACTTAATTTCCTGATTTAATAAATCAATCTATTAAAATATTTAAAAACAATAATATAGTACAGYGACATTTTTTGGTTTTTCAATCGACATACATAAGCTTGTCACTTAATTATGAATACCTCGCTATCGACTATCATAATAATATAGCTCTAACGATTTTTGTAAAAAAAAAAAAATATAAGGAATGTACGTATTATATGTTAAATTTTAGATACTGAACGGAGCGATGAATGTATTGATTTTATTTTACAATGACGTGATTTTCTTAAAAAAAAATTGTTTGTTCTGTGTACACAATTAGTAGGTAGGTATCGAAATGAGTCGATTTCAGTATTTTTTTTGTGGTGCTAGTTGAATCTAGCAATCAAAAGAGCTGGAGAAAACGTAAATTGGAATTTTTCGGTTTTCGAAAAATCGATTTTGGTTATTGGTGTAACGCTATCAGAGATGAACGTAAATATTTGGAAGTACTTATATAGTTAATTTTATTACGTTGTATTAAAATGAATATGTTTGGGAACCGGGAATTTACATGATTATACAGAGTGATCTTTCCCAACTTGTTTTTAACTATTATTATTTTTATATTTTATTCAAAATGCTTATGAAATTACAATCAAAATAATATATATTAAATCCCAGTAATAACATTTTACAAGAAAAATTATATAATATTACATTTTCAAATCTCAAGAATGAATATTTATCATTTTAGGAATTGTTTATTACAAAATAATCTCCAAAGGCTTGCATACTTAATATATAAAACGATTCTGAGTGGAATCTGGAAATATCTTAGCAGCCTATACCAAGTATATTTCTTGATAAATCAACTGCGTGGATATAGTTTTTGAAATTTTTGATTACGATATTAACAACTCAGTATTAGTGAGAAACTTTGTTATTCATTTTCAAACTTTACTTAAAACATTTTTTGAATTGTTTAACTACGATATAATTTTGCAAACTGACGTTATTTTGGCGAATTTAATTGAATATTTTGTATATAGTTATGTTTAACGCAGTTAAATTTTACCATCGATATTCTTAGTAAAAAAAAGTAAGCATGCGTATTAATAGCTCAAAAAAAAAAAAAAAAAAAAAAAATAAGATTTAAAAAAATTTGTTTATACCTACATTTAAGTTAATATAATTATTCAATTAAAAGGTCGAGAAACTACCCGATTATTCGTTTTTGAATTACAATAAAATAGTTAGAAATCTAGAATAGATTTTAGAAATTAAAATAGAAGAATATCTTTCCATGAGAAATTATTAGTTCACGCTTCACGCGCAGTTGATATCCAATGTCGAAAAAATATAAGCTTCAAACGCTCATAAAAATTAATTTGGCTTTCTGATAGACTTTTTTATTAGCAACGGTGAACCAAGGGCGCCCGTAGGGGGGGGGGGCAAAGTGGACATTGCCCCTACTGGAGATATTTTAAAACTATTGTTAATTTAATGCCACGCATATTAAAGACATTGTTAAAAAGCAAAAACAAAATATTATTGAAGACGTTTTACAATCATTTTGTTACAACCAAGACGCATACAACTTTTATTTGATAATTAATATAAATATAATGAATTTGTAA